CAAGGACATTCAGAGACTTGTCCAGAAGCCACTCTTGCATTGTCTTGGCTGTTTGCTTAGGGTCGTTGTTCTGTTGGAAGGTGAATTTCATTCCAGTTTGTGGTTCTGAGCACTCTGGAGCAGGTTTTCATCAAGGGTCTCTCTGTACTTTGCTCCGTTTATCTTTCCCTCGATCCTGACTAGTCTCCCAGTCCCTGCCGCTGAAAAACATCCCCACAGCATGATGCTGCCATCACCATGCTTCCCCGTAGGGATGGTGCCAGGTTTCCTCCAGACGTGACGCTTGGCATTCAGGCCAAAGAGTTCAGTCTTGGTTTCATCAGACCAGAGAATCTGTAGGGTCTAAGATGTATAGTGTTTTATCACCCAAGAGTACTACAACGACTGCTGTAACACTGGCATAGAACTGTCCTTTGCTCAACTAAGAAGTGTGTGGAACTGTTAGTGTAGAACAACTGTAGAAGTAGTTTGAGCCTTGTAAACAGGGCCCTGTATGTTACCACAGTGTTGTGTTGAGCCTTGTAAACAGGGCCCTGTATGTTACCACAGTGTTTGTTGAGTCTTGTAATAGGGCCTAATACAACGCTGGGGAAGGAGGTGCCCTTTGCAATCGCTACACTCAGTGTTTTTGGTGCCTCGTTGACAGGTGCCTGGGAGCAGAATAAAACATGCAGTATGTGGATTCATACATATATGCTGGCAGTTAGAGCTGGGTAAGTACACTTGTTTGTTCTCTAAAAGTCTCTGCTTCTCTCTCTCTCTCTATCCTCTATCTCGCCCCCCGCCGTCTCTCCTCGCTAGCTCTCTCTCTCTCCTCTCGCTCTACTCTATCCTCTCTCCTCTATCTACACTCTATCTCAGCTCTTCTCTCGACTCATCTCTCATCACGTCCTCTCGGGGACTTCTTCTCCTCTCCTCTCGACCCCTCCCCGCCCCTCTCCCCCCCCCCCCCTCCCTCCCCCACCCCCCCCCCCCCCTCTCTCCCCCCTCCTCCCTCTCTCTCCCCCACACGGACCAACTCACTAATCCCCAAATTCTCTCATCTACCCCCACCGCCCCCCCCCACCCCCCCCCCCCCCCCCCTCTCTCTCTCTCTCTCTCCTCTCGCTCCTCTCTCCTGTCTGTAACATGATGGTGATGAGGAGGATGACATGTTCAATGATTAAGTAATGATGAGGATGTTTTCCACTTCACCATGTCATGTCAGCTAAAGTACAGGCCAGTTAAAGCCTGCGTGCGTGTTTGTTTTCCTTCTGTGCTTACGTTTACGTTTCCTAACCTTGTTCACCCCAGCTGTCATACACATTTTATGTATGTGGCAGTGTCACTTCGCCTTCCATTCACGCAATATTCCATATTGAGGCACCTGCTCTATCATACATGAAGACAGTGTGAAAGGGTATTCCATGAAACACACACAGGTGAGGTTGGAAACCCAGAGGGCTTCCATGAAAAACACACACAGAAACGAACAATATATATATATATATATATATACAAAGCAGTTTGTTCAATCAGTTAAACAAAGCATACTAAATACAATTAGTATGCTCTGTTTGGGTGTCTCTGTTTGGGGTTTTTTATTTGATGTCCTGCCCCACTACCCCCCTACCACTCACCCTGACCTTAAACATGAAGACAGTGTGGAATGGTATCTCCTACCACTGACCTTGACCTTAAACATAAAGACAGTGTGGAATGGTATCTCCTATCACTCACCCTGACCTTAAACATAAAGACAGTGTGGAATGGTATCTCCTATCACTCACCTTTACCTTAAACATGAAGACAGTGTGGAATGGTATCTCCTATCACTCACCTTGACCTTAAACATGAAGACAGTGTGGAATGGTATCTCCTATCACTCACCTTGACCTTAAACATGAAGACAGTGTGGAATGGTATCCCCTATCACTCACCTTGACCTTAAACATGAAGACAGTGTGGAATGGTATCCCCTATCACTCACCTTGACCTTAAACATGAAGACAGTGTGGAATGGTATCCCCTATCACTCACCTTGACCTTAAACATGAAGACAGTGTGGAATGGTATCCCCTATCACTCACCTTGACCTTAAACATGAAGACAGTGTGGAATGGTATCCCCTATCACTCACCTTGACCTTAAACATGAAGGACAGTGTGGAATGGTATCCCCTATCACTCACCTTGACCTTAAACATGAAGACAGTGTGGAATGGTATCCCCTATCACTCACCTTGACCTTAAACATGAAGACAGTGTGGAATGGTATCCCCTATCACTCACCTTGACCTTAAACATTAAGACAGTGTGGAATGGTATCCCCTATCACTCACCTTGACCTTAAACATGAAGACAGTGTGGAATGGTATCCCCTATCACTCACCTTGACCTTAAACATGAAGACAGTGTGGAATGGTATCCCCTATCACTCACCTTGACCTTAAACATGAAGACAGTGTGGAATTGTATCTCCTATCACTCACCTTGACCTTAAACATGAAGACAGTGTGGAAGGGTTTATGAAGTAAAGGAAGTAAGTTGTCATCCTTCAAAGAGCCTGGAGTGATGTTGGTATTGTCTGTTCTCTGTACCCAGATTACAAGAGGGTCGCCGACAGACATGTTTGTCCTGTTTCTAGCTCCTAGCCAACTTTGCAATATATATATTTTGTTGTTGTTATTTCTTACATTATTTGCTCAGAATGTTTTTTGCATTATTCTGATATTTCTTAAAGGAAAAAAATACAGAAATCATCCCCATATGATGCAGCATCACATCATGCAAAATGCATTATAAGGGGATGATTTCTGTATTTTGAAAGTTACATATCTTGAAAACTTGATTGGTGACAAGCAAAACATTTTGGGACTATGTCAACAATGGACTAATGAAACAGATACCAAAAAAATAGTTTTCGGGTGGACTTTTCCTTTAATTCCTTTCTTTTAATTTTTTGGATTTGTGTGTATTGTTTTGTATTGTTATGTATTACTGCACTGTTGGAGCTAGGAACATAAGCATTTCGCTGCACCTGCGATAACATATGCAAAATATGTGTACACGACCAATACAAGTATAAAAAAAGTACTATTTGTTTTCTTTCAAAAGCTTTTGAGTGCCAGGTTCCAGATGATTCCATCAGCCAGGCAAGTCCAATCAAGCGCAGCCAAAGTTTTTGAAAGAAAAAAGATACTGTCCTCCATCTTTGTTTGGGTGTTTTCATTTGATGTCCACTTCACTCTGACCGTAGCGTTATTTTTTTATTTTGTATTATTCTTTTTATTTAACATTTATTTAACTAGGTTATTAGTAACCTACTCCTGGAAGATCAGGGCTGGTTTTATATAAGAGTGAGATTTGTCATGGCAGTTGTTACATCAGACTAGGGTTGAAAAAAGTCCAGTAAATTTCCAGAAATTCCCAGAAATCCTGGTTGGAAGATTCCTGGAATCTGTCAGGAATTGGCAGGAAATCCAGGAATATTCCAACCAGGATTTTTGGAAAACCAGGGGATTTTTTGTAGGAAAGTTACCAGGATGTTGCAACTCTACATTAGACAGACTCCATACTAGCTATAGTAAGTTATGCCGTTATGCATTCAAGGGTCTTTGCTCCTATGGATTTGTTTGGGGCGTTTTCGTTTGATGTCCTGACCCTACTTCTCTACCCCCTACCACTCCAATTTGACCCTATAGTTATTAGTAGCCTACTCCTGGCTGGGCTGGGCTGGGTTTTATATAACAGTGAGATCCGTCATGGCGGCCGTCACATCAGACAGACTCTCCAAGTCAACATACCAGCTATAGTATGCCAGCGTTCAAGGGTCTGTCTTTCTTCAATATCCGTCTGGGTGCTTCAGTCTTTAGTTTGATGAAGTCCTGACCCAGTTCTACCCTCTGCTGCCCCACCATGAACATAGTGTTAATGAAAGGTCAGAACAATGGGTTTATATAAGAGTAATATTCGTCACGGCGGCCGTCAGGTCAGACCAGGGCTGAATCCCAAATGTTTACATCCCAAATGGCACCCTATCCCCTGTATAGTGCACTACTTTTGACAAGAGCCATGGGTCCTGGTCAAAAGTAGTGCACTATATAGGGAAAAGTGTGCCATTTGGGACGCCGCCTATGTCCGTTACACAGACAGACGCCCCGGGTCGAGTCGGCATAGTTTCCTAACATCAATCCTCTTCCTAAGTGTCTGTAGCTGTATCTCACAGGAATTCCTTTGTTTGAGTATCCACAGAGACAGAGGTGGTGAGGTCAGTTCCTGCTTTGCTCTTCATGTAGCCCATGACAACAAAACGCCACTCACTCACCTCTTTATCGCGGGCCCGTTTGGTTTAGGACGCTCGTTTGAGTCAACGTCAGCGGACATGTTTTTATCTGTTAATGTAGCAGTTAACATGCTAGCCTGCTGGTCCTAGATCTGTTTGGACTGTCTTGCCAACTCCTATTTAAACATGTTGGCCATGACGAGTTGACTATACTGCTGCACAAACATGTCTGTAAGCAGGCTAAGGTCTGGATTCAATCCCATCGGCAGTAAATCCGTGTTATGGCGCGTTTGACATTTAAAGTGAATTTCCGCTTGAGCCGACGTATGCAGCATGTACCGTGAATTCGGTCTCCGCAAAACGTGGAAGCATTGCCTTTAAAAGGTGCAAGGCCGACAAAGCGCGATCGGATTGAATCCCCCCCTAAGATGATCTTACAGTATGTACACTCTCAGATAAAAGGGTTCCATAATGGTTCTTCGGCTGTCCCCATAGGAAAACCCTTTTTGGTTACAGGTAGAAAACTTTTGGGTTCCATGTAGAACCCTCTGTGGAAAGGGTTCTACATGGGACCCAAAGGGGTTCTACCTGGAACCAAAAATTGTTCTTCAAAGGGTTCTCCTATGGGGACAGCGGAAGAACCCTTTTAGGTTCTAGATAGCACCTTTTTTTCTAAGAGTGTAGTGTTACGGAGCTCTCTGCAAACTCACCACTGTTCTGTTCTGCATGTTGACAAG